GAATATGCACAATTATGGACACTGGGGTTGCTATAAAAAATCTTCCGACACAGATAACCAGTGTCACTAACACCAGGGTAACAAGCAGGAAAGTTCCCAGGGTGAAGTGACGATGGAAAAGGATCTCTTCTAGTCATCTGTCAACTGAAGTGATGTTGCAGTTCAATACTGGAAGGCTCCTTTTAGATTGTTTATAGAGTTGTATGGTGTAGCAATTTAAGTAGGATTTGTTCAAGTAGGTTTCCTACCAACACAAAATTGTTAATGAAATCAAGCTAGGCCCTGGGCTGTTCAATGCCAAGCAGCATAGTGTATTTTAGATTTTGAGGTCCCTTTTGTTGCATCCTAACGTAGGTGTCTTAAATGGTCTAATGAAAGCAGTCTGCTAATGAGAGAAGTATTGATTCATCCTAGGAACTGAGTTCCTGCGAGGCACAAAGAAAGTCTGGTTGATCTAAAAAGTTTGTTTTTCAATTATTTCATGATGATATTAATTATGAGTACACCTTATGTATTATTTTTCAATGAAATCTTTAAAAGAATACCATTTGCTGTTTCTGCTAAGAGTACATTTTGAAGGTAAATGTGAATTTCACTTTCTAGTCCATTTACAGCACAGATCATGTGTATTAGATCATTATTTGGTACAGGCAAGCTCTGAAGTAAACTAAAATGCCTAACCTACTAGCACTATGAGGTGCGTTTTGTGTGTGTATACTAAGCAGTGCGTTATCTGTCTGCCAGGGGAGTGGGATAATCTTTTTATATAACACCAAACTTAAAAAATAAAAAGATGCACTCAATAGCATAATTGCATTATGTGAAAATACACATAACAAATTTTGTTTGTTTCTGTACAATTTAGAGTGTGGTCAGCAAAATATAATCCCCTCTAAAAAAAGATCAGTTTAAGTCAAAATCAATGAAAACGATTAAAAATTAGTCCCATAATAACATGGTAAACAACTCAAATCGCTTCTTTTTAATGCTAGGAAAAATGTTCACCTTTCAATGGTGACAGTACTATTAACACAGGTAGAGAGCCAACAAGGTAAAAAGTGAAAGCACATACACAGACACACATAAATATATATAAAATTTGACCAGAAATCACAGGACATTTAAGCAACGTTTTCTTAACTTTGTTTTTTTTTTGTACTTTAAATAGACTAAAATATTTGGTGTGGGTGGTGGGAAGGAAATCAGTATTTCACAATTTTAACTTGAAAACCAGCTGAAATAAAGCCTCAGCTCACTGTTTAATTAAAAAAAAAAGGAAACACATCATATTTTGACAATCATAGGATTAAAGCTTACAAAGAACACATCTACCATCTACATCACAGTGCACAGAGGATGCAGTCTGAGGACTACCACAGGGAAACAATAACAGACTCTGCATCCATCATATTGCATTACAAAATTAATGCCGTCTTAGAAAAATCTCACCTCCCGTGGTCGGTGTTGCAGCTGGTAAGCACCTGAGGGGTAGGAGGCTATCAGAACTTAGGGTGCTGCTCAGTCTGGATCAGGACACCCAATTCCTTCACCTGCCATTGGCTGATGCATTTAATAATCTCAATACAACATTCACTGAGAATAAACATAGTAATGCCACATTCTGGCTTCTTGAGCAGGATAGTCTGGGGAATGTAGTAGAGGATAGAGCATCAAAGGCCATATTTTCCCTCAAGAGAGAAGAAATCCACAGCATTACTCAGTTTTCCTTTACTGTGAAAATTTAAATTTAACCCCATAAAGACATGATCTGTACTTACATATACACACAGGTTCTGAAGAACTTTGCTATCTAGTTGCCTCTTCTGTTTCATTAAACCACCAGTTACCTTCCCTGGATTACTGTGTTAGTCTCACTACCACGTTGGTGCCATTAGCTATTATTGGTATAAATCTCACATTCCATACACAATAGTAAGTGACTGGAGGACACATATGCTATAGGGCAGCTGAATTTAACCGCAACTATTACAATGTTTAAGGTGAGGGTAAGTCACAAGAACACTTAAGGCTATCAGCTCCTCCTTGGTGTGCCTGGGGACTTCCTGGGTTTAGCACTCAAAGTCCTGCATCCAGGGGACTGCCTCAGTCCCAGGCACACCAGGGCAGTTGGTCACCCTAAGAACACTACTCACTCCTCCCTTATTATCGCTAGAGAAAGTGTAAGAATTTTCAAGAGTAAATAGGGCTACTTACGAGGGAACTGGCTTAAAAATATTTTTAGGACATTTGCTAATCATTAGTTCCTAGAAATATCTTATTTAACAGTGTCAATTTTAAGAATAGTTGGTAGAACATAAGCAAATTGTTGAGCAGTGTATAAAAGTTCATCCTTGAAACCTGTTTTCCCACAAATCCTCTATACGTTCTTCTGGTTTTGTCCAGTTATATAGCATTTTAGCGTATCTTTTTGAGATTTTGAGAGCTAAATGAATAATAGTTTTATATTTTTTCATATTATTTTCTTTTTAGGTGAAAACACGCTTTGCCAACTATTTCCTACATTCTTGTTTCATATATTAACATGAAGACTGCCAACTGGGGCTATTTCCCTCAGATTACAAAGGCCCAGAATTATGTTACTTTTAACTGTGCTCTACCAGAAGGTCTGGCCTTGGGAAAAGATGGCTAAAAAAAAAAAAAATTCTCAGATATGAATGTTTTTATTTTGCCTACAAAATGCTGTGATCTAGCTCAACAACCACACAACTGCTTTCATCTTAATCTTTATAGTTTTTCTTGTTTTGCTGTCTTGTATAGAAATGGTTAGTGTCACAGTTTCACTATCACTAATAAAAAGATATAAATGTTTATGCCTTAAAGGCCAGGGTCAAAACAGCAAAAATGAAGCCTGAGGTAAAGTTGGTCTGAGAAATGACCATTTTGGGTTCTACATTTTGCCAAAAAATAGGGTGTTTTTTGAAAATGTAAAAGCCATGCATGTTACCTACTTGCTATGTATGTGATAATTCTTTCTCCTGATTAAAATTAATGTGTGTATATTAGTTACATAAAACCAACAAATGACTACATTCTTAATGCAGGTACGTACATTCATCAGAAAAGGACCCTAATCGTTTTCACCAACATTTTTTTTTGCTGTTTGAACAATCCAAGAACATGAATAAAGAGAGTGACAAACAAGTATTTTCTTAGGAACTTACTGAGAAAGGAAAATCTCTTTGGAAGAAAAAGACTTTAGTAAGACTTCTATTCCTATGGACAAATGCTGAGAACTAACTTTGTCACAGCACTGTAATCGGTAGGACTGACAGAACCAGAAATATGGCAAGTCACCTAGTGACTAACGCTGCAAAACCGCCAAAAGCTTTAAAGCCACAGGGAGAAAGAAGAGTCAAGTGTGAAATGAAAACTCTGTAATAGTGAAGCACTTTTAAAATTCTAAACCCTCACTTTTGTCCTTAAATCAATATATTACGGATTTCATGGTTCAATAAATTAGCATCTTTAATTAGAAAGAGAAAGTAAATCCCTACCCCTCACCCAAAAGAGCAAACTGGAAATTCTATAGAAAGTAAGAGCTTTTTTTTTTTCTTTTTTAAAAGAGGGTAGAAGAATATAATTGGGGGGGAAATTTGGTTGGAGAAACATCTAAAAGTCCTTTGTGTGGAGTCAATGAATCCTCACTTCACTCCTAACATCAGTGGTACTATTCTTTCAAAGGGCCCTCACATCTCAATCAATGGTGAAATTTTGGGTCTATTATGGATCTCATGGCAGCAAGCCAATTGACACTGAAGTTAACTCAGGCTAATACACTCTGGTCAGATCCTCTGTGAATCAGAAATGGCCCAAAGAACTTTGGAAAATCCATTTCTGTTGAGCACAGCTAAGAAAGTCATCTTGAGGCTACCCTTCAATACAGGAAAACTTGACTTGGTAGTGGTGCTTCCCAGGGTATCTTAAGCAGCAGTCTTATGCCGGGGGAAAGAGCAGGTGTGGCGGACACACAACCTAACATTATTTTTTTTTTTAAAAAAAAAAGGTAACCTTAAGCAAGTACCTTCCAGAGACCACTCAGAGCTTTTCTTTTTTGATGTTCCAGTTATGATTCTTAATTGTCAAGCTGCCTAAAAATGGCATATTAACTGAACTGCCAAATTAGGACCCTGGCAGAATAAAAAATTTACCCTGATGGTCTGTCCATGAAAGGAAAATGTCTGCAAGAAACTTAAGAATTTTTTTACTGATATGAGATTTAAACAATAGAATCATTGAACACTGTTAAAATGTATGCAAATGACCCCTACTGTTAAGATTTTTCTGTGAGTGTATATATAAATCCATACATACACATTATATAATTTATTTCCTACTAAAAAGATTTAAGGCAGTTATGCTATATATAAAGTCAGCTATAATATCCAAGATAAAACAGTTCCTACTCAAGAAATTATATGAACACATTAGACAAGTTCTCATCATAAAAGCTATCATGAGGCTATCTATATCTAGTATAGCTCACATTTCCTGGTTGAGGTTTCAAACATAGGAATTCCACTCCAAGAGATAATTTGTCCCTCAATCCCCACACACAAAAGGTAGTCTTGAACAGACAAAATATTTATGAAAACTTGAAAAGGAAGATATAAAAGGAATTCAATAGGACTCTGACAACCTCTAGACACCACACACTATCATTATTACTCTTGATTGTACTAAATACAACAACCCAATATGCCCCAAGGTGGAAACAGGGCTAGTATTATGAGGAAATCATTGGCTGCAACTACCGGAAAAGTTGATAATCCTGAACATAATTTACAACAGAATCTGCCGATGTACGCTATCATCACAAAAACATTTAACTGGAGAGAATTTCTGAGCCATTTGTAAGATTTAAGTGACTGACCAATCTCAACAATGTCAACCTTCGTGGTGAAGAAATTAGGACCCTGGGATTGAACAGCACCATCCTTTTTGGTCTTTAGTAAAGTTCAAAGGAGAGAAACATTCCGATGTATGCAGATACAACACGGTTGGCAAGGAAGAGGGCAACTGGCAAAACCACTAGGGATACATGTTGTCAAGAGAAGGGAAGGAAGAATAAAATTCAGTTGATGAACATAAAGGACTTAGCAAAATAAAGTTCACGAAGGAAAGAAAATGGGCAATAATGTGTTATGTCTAAACCTCAATGTGTTGCACCAGAGTAAGAGACAAGATCACGGGTTGCTTATGTCCACAGTCTACTTAGTTATCTAAAGAGATACTGGGGAATGGTGGAGGGGTGGCAAACTGTGAAGCTGGAATGTTTAGCTATGAAAGTAAAGACTGTACATAAAGACAGATGCTAAGTACAGTGAGGATTGTCTTGCGTTACATTACTTCCCACCATCAACCAGACCAGGAGGGCACTGATTATTGAGTAAATGCTCAAAGTATTTAGTTATTTAAAAAAAAGAAAGATGTTAAAGGTATATTTGGACAATTTTTGGAAGAGGTAGAGAAACCAACTGGGTATATATACTCTTTTATTTGATTTCAACTAGCAAGAGACTAGACTGATTGTTTTTCAAGTTCAAAATCTTAGTCTTGATGAAACTGACAATAAAGGCACAAATAAAGTGAAATTATCAATAAAATAATTTTAACAAAGGAGAATATCTGGCAATGTTTAAAGGACAGATGAACCAAGCAAAACTAGATATGATGTGAGGTTTAAAAAAACCCCAGATATTAACAATTTGCAAATATATACTTAGAATACAGAATAAGAGTAAGAATACAGAGTAAGAATATATAGCTTTCAAGAAAAATTAGGCAGATTTTCTTCTGGCAAAGTGACAGGTCCTGAGAGAGAAAGTAACCCCACACGACTAAGATGGCTTGAGAGTCAGTACCAAATCCCAGTTATCTTTTTATTACTCAACATCTATCACACTGGGTAGGTAAAGCACAGGCATCAATAAGTGTTTATTGAACGAATGTATATCATAATGTACAACTAGCACACTAACTGGTATAGTTCAAATCTAGTCAGGAAAGTCAAACTTTTTTTTAAGCAGTAAAACTTTTTTAAGAAAGAAATCATTCTATTGGAGTTCCTACGTGGAACTCCAACACAGAATAAAAATGAAGCTGCCACTGGCCAGGCCAAAGTCAGTGGGAATGTCACCAGCCTCCAATTCCCTAAACCAGCCCTAAGGTGTATGTAATCCACTGTGAAAACCACCATTCATCTTAGAAATGTGACAGAAAGCATGATCATTCAGTTCTCATGTTGTTAAACTGAGGAAATTACCAGCACTGTGTGGAAGAAATTCTAAATGATGTTGCTAATCTAAATAAAGACAAAATTCTACAGAGAGATCTTATCACTTAGAAGAATGAAAACAAACCCTATAAAGGGAAAAAACAATTGGCAAAAATTAGGCCACAGTGGCCAAAACAGAATGCAAAACCAGCATCGCATTAAAAAGCAAGGAAGACCACTGAACACACTCATACAAATGTAACCACCACCACCACAAAGTCAACTGCTTGACAGGTCTAACCGCTGAATACATGGGCGCTTCCAAAGAGGTGAGTCCCAGTTTCATACTGTACAGAAGAATGCCACCAGAACTGCAGAGATGTGACCCACTACTGAAATGCTACAGGTGGCACTGCTCTGCTTAACATATCAATGCAAGAGCAACTGCCAGGATGTTCTATCACTTTCAACCAGACAAAGAACAGTGTTCCCTAACATCACTACAAGTCCTCTAGTAAGCAAACACTTCCAAAGGGCAGAGCCTCCACATTTCCAACAGGTCTGACTGTGGTAATACCTGGGACATTTACTCTATCCACAGGATGGGCTGCAGAAGTAATCATTTCGGACAGCAGGACATCTGGAAGCAAGCAGCCAGTCACTACAATGGTGAAAATCTGCCCAAGGCAGAACTGAAGAAAGGGTTGTTCAATTAAATGGTATTGACCTGGTGTAAACTTTTTACAGGAAGGATTTGAGGAAGAGGAAATATTAGTGAGAATGACACATGAAGCAATCTATCACAAAGTAAGGCCACCTTCAACTATTATAAACTGTAGAACCAATCTGATCCTCAAGTTTGGACCTGTGTAGAGGTTTTTGTATAAAGCACAAACACCTAGTAAATTATGAGTTTCCTTTCAAATAAGCCTTTGCATTTGATGCCATTTTCTTTGCCAAGAATGCCTATTTTTCTCTCCACAAGGCTTGCTCCTTTCTCACCGAAGTGTTAGCTCAAGCATCACTACCTTTCAGAAGCATTCCCCCTGCTATGCTTTATCACAGTACCCTGTTTTATCTCCTTCATAGACAAATAAGCTAATTAAGCATTATAGAAACTGCTATCTCAGCAAAGGCAAGGGCCTTATCTGTCTTGTTCACCTTTACCCAAAGGCTAAGAAAGTTCCTGGCACACATAACAGGTGAACAATAAATATTTGTTGAATGAATAAAAAATTACTATACCAAGTTTACATAAACACATACATGCATACACAAATATAGGAAAATGGGGAATATCTAATAGAAAACAACCAATGCTGAAAGTACTGAAAATAACACCTGTAGATAAAGGTGAATATGGTTTCAAAAAACAAGTACCAAAGATAATCTGTCTTTAAAAATATGAAAACTTACTAGAAGGGGACCAGGAGTGGTTACTTTCCATTTCTACTGAGATGCAAACAAGAAATGTTTAAACTGCAATGAGTTAACAATAAACATAAGGATTATCTGCTGCAGGGTGGATTCCAACAGAGTTTCTGACATCTCCTGTCACTGTAGAGCAAAATGCATGGTTGGTTCTAACAGTCACCACATATTCAGGATTAGTTAAGAACAGCTCAGAGTGTAGGTAATTATAAGCTAAAAAACTTGCTAAACTGCTTCTCCCCCAAATTTTAAAATTCAGAATTCATAATTATGTAAAATAACATAGATTGTATAAATTTAATACAACATACCTTAAAAACAGATGGCCTTTACCTGCTGATCATACCTCAGCATTACTTTTCTAGGTATTCTGCTGAAGCAATTACATTTACAAAAGGCCCATTCCATAATACAATCTGGTAACTAAATCAAATGGAACTCAACTCAAAGAGCACTAGGTTTGCTACTGAAATATTTTAAAATACCTTTTTAAAGAGCGTTTATCTCTATAGATTGAATTTTTAAAAAGGATAAATATATTGAAATAATTGTAGCATATCCCTGAAAATAATTATACTGCCACCTGTGCATTTTTTATGAGGTGTAAAGATAAATCAAAAGACTGCTAGGTTACACAAGTCTATTACCATCTGCTGAAACTGAAATCTGGTGTAAGACAAAGGGACTTACTCCATATGATTTGTTACCATACCCCAGAATTAACTGGTGCTGGCGGTATCAGTGCAACCATTATTGGTGATGGATGTCACGCTACACTGTTTTGGTATCAGGACAAAAGTGGAAATGGAGGAGAGGTCTGGAAAAATTTCCGTAAGGTTTTAGCAATAAGTAAACAAACACAAAAAGAATGAATATTTAAGACCCACTGAACACATTAAGGTCAAGGATTTCAAAAGTTAATCCACTTTTCTTCCCCCAAGAGTTTATTTTTGGTAAAAGGCAGAAAAATTAGTTTTTCTACAAGGGAAATCTGCTTCTAAATGATAATTTGAAAATCTTGATATATATTATATATTAAAAAAGACACACAAAAATAACGAAGAAGTGGGAATAACAGATTAGGTACTGTAACTTTATAAAGGCTTGCCTAAATCAAGAAGCAGCACACACACACCTAATTTATGCAAACTAAAAATGTATACAAACAGCACAATACTGTGATACTGGATCATGATACATTACCTGTACACATAACTACTACTGTTATTAATAAACCTTTGGGACACTCAGTTTTATGCCCAACAAGACATCAGTAAGTCTTTAAAATCTTCTCTTCCTCCTTTATGGGAGGGTATTTCTAGACACTAATTTTCCCATCTAATATTCAAACATAGGAAACCGATTCCACAAGGTGCTTTAATTGATGAGACCTCAAGTGCTGTTTTCTCTTGAATTTTTGGATAGTAAACAGTCCACGGGGACCACACACAAATACTATGACAGAAGAGTTGGTACATTAAGTCTTTTGATGGGACTTGACTGGTGACAAAGCTTTATGACATGCTTGAGCAACGCACTGAAGGGGATCCCATCTGAGTTAATACTTTGTCCAACCACTGTAGAGGTCCATTCAGATGAAGTTCAATCCAGCAAGGAGTGCTTGTTACTGTCTGCCTTCTGTTAAAAGAATGCAAGAAAATAATTATGAAATTAAAAGAATAACATGGCTATGGAAGAATTTAGATAAATCAAAAGGTTGTATCAATATATACTAAAACCTAGATTCTTTTCTGACAGAGTATCAAGTTTGCATATCTACTATTTTAAAAACTGTTTAATCCTCAAAGTACTTATGTGACTTTTTTTCTTTTAAAGAGAAAAAAAACACAGTTTTCCCCTCAAATTAAAATTAGTAGAGTAACCTTATATTTACCATCCAAAATGGGACACCTTTAAGAGAGAATGTAGTCACTATAAATAATCACTGCCAGGGCAAGAGACGTAAACCAGCACTGTCCCAAGCAAACCAGAATATATAAAGTCACCCTACTTATTAATCATCCACAGCACAGAAGATACTCAAATAGCAAATGAAGTCCAAATGGAATAGGATTCAAATTTAAAGTATAGCAAAACAAAAGAGAATTCTGACCCAAGCTAATCACAGAACGTTAAGAGTTGGGGTTCAACTTTCCCTGACAAAGCCAACAACCAACATCCCTTTTAGCAAAATCATGCAGGCTTTTACTAAGAAGCACCTTTAGTACTTCAAACAAAATGAGCTACCCTCTGGGAATCGCAAATTGTTCAATGACATCCTGTCACTTCCACATACTGATTTTAGTTCTTATTTATTATATACAATAAGTCAGTAAGTCTGCTTGCTTCTTCGACATGACAGCCCTTCAAACATGAGAAAAGGCCATTATCAACTCTTCACCTCCATGTGACACATGCTCAATATGATTTAAAACTGTATCTCAAAGGATGTGGTTTTCTGTAGCAGATGGTGTCAGTGCCCCACTATACTCTTCAGATTTTCAGTGTTCTAGTCTAGCCAATTTCCAATTGTAGGCATCTGCATTTCTGTGCCTGAGAACTTCTCTGCTCCGTCCACATATATAGCAGATCAGAAGTGCCAGGAAATTAACATCCCCAGGAATAGACCTCAAGCAATGACACAGGAATTGGCATTTAAAGGTCCAGTTTCCCTTCCCTCTGGGTGGGATAATTCTGTGTGTTCTTTACTGTTTTCCAAAGTTTTCCTAAGGGAACAGCTCTAGTGACCCACCCACTAGAGTAGATGGGTTAAGAATGGTACTGGCTGCCTTTCCTCCCTACCTCTCTTCCCTACTTCCTCCTTCCTGACCAGTGCTCCCTCCATTTCCTGAATAAACTTCTTGCATGCAAACCCTTGTCTCAGGGTCTGAGACACACATTATGTGTCCCCCAACTGTTTATTCGTTTCAGTACTAATTCACTTAACTGAGACATATTTCTCAATTAACTATGAATTCTTTACACATCTATGTTTCCTGCTTACTACATGTCCTGATTTTTACGCTAAGCAATCAAGCTGGCAGTAAAGAAACTAAAAGATAGTTTTAGAAATCCAACCATTAGATCTATCTCCTCCGCACCAGTGTCATTAAGGATAAAAGGTTCCACAGTTCACAGATATATAGGTATTTGATTTATTTTGATCTGTAAATGTTAAAGGAAACTACTTTATTATCCAAAGTAGATGTACCTGACTCCATTATCCATGAAAACATACTGTATATTACTGCTTCTCATATAGATTTTAAATTAGCTCGGGGTTAAAGAACAGCAGAGTCCACAGTGAATGAAGGGCAGTATCTCTCTCTACCAATCAAAACTGGTCTTAACAGGAGACCCACAGATATACATGGAATTCTCCCTGACCTATGCAATTCATATCTAATTCCACTGAATTTCTACCATGTTCTTCAACATTATGATCTTTTGAAGAGAAAAAAAAAATGTCTGACCTAATAAACTGGTATCAGATGGTACTATCTGAATCTAATTTTAATATCAACTATCAATCTAATTTAATATCAATAAAATCTAATTTTATTAACAATTTGATAATTTTTTATCAAAGGGAAAAAAAACCTCAGCATTCTTTAAAGTTATCACATCTCAAAGGGGAAATGATTAAAACAAAAGAGAGCTACAGCAAAGTCAAAAAGTGAATTCTTCTACTAACATAACTTGGACAAAATAGTGACAAGTCTTCATTCTAGAATATACATACATAACACATATATTTATAAAAGTATTCAAACCAGTAGATCTCAAATCTCACCATCACAAAAGTCATACACCTCACAAAACTTAATACAGGGAATCAAGTTCAAATGAAATGAAATAAATTCTGAAGAAGGGCCCAAACTGCTGAATGAAACAGGAGTACTATTACCATTCTATATGAATATCTTCTTAAGCAGACATTCAGACAGTAAGCAATGTGAACTGAAGAAAGACTAAGTATTTCACTTATACTTTCATTCTTTAATATGCTGATGAAGTATTCCCTGTCTTTGCTGTGGAATCCAATCAACTGTTTAATTTATCAATAGCGTAATCTATCTTACCCCTTGATGACAGATTAGCTTTGGTAAAACTTAATTACATAACTGCTACTTACTATCCTTAGAGAAGAGGTTAAGAGTCAAGCAGAGCTTTCCTCAAGTCCCGTCTCTACCACTAAGAATGTGTCCTTGGGCAAACTATCAAATCTTCTCTAAGCCTATTTCCAAATAAATATTAGTCTGGACCATTTTTTACCTTAGAAAGATTGCAACCTTATAAAGAAAGGATAAAGACAGCAACAGTAATTCTTAGCCATGTTGAAAGGCGTGAGATACTGCACCTAAAACACAGCACAGTGCCTGGCACCTAACAAGTACTGCCTTCTATTACTGAATGAAGTTCCACCTTTTAACCTTATACTGAAGTTGTCTCAACTTATTTGTCCAGCCTTATTCTTCTTTACTTTCTATACTCCAGTCAAACTGAACTGTACTCTACTGCCAGGATCATCACTTCCCACCCCACAAACCTGTGACTACCGAAATCCTAGGCATCTTTCAGAACCCAGACCCTGTGTCATCACTACCTCCCCCAGCCCCAGCGAAACATCTCTCCTTCCATGAACTGACATAACCCTTCCAATATGCCATTTATGGTATTTAACACTCTGCATTCTATTACAGTACCCGTCCATACACGTTTTAATTCTTTGTTCCATAATGCCAGCACAGGAATTTGCAACAGTTTTGAATCCAGAGGCCTCCAACTTTCTTTTGTTATTTTACATAAAGATCTGCTGACTCTATAAACCTCAAGGAAAATAAATACACATGAACTTCAGAAGATACAAAGAATGAAAGAAAAAAGAATTACGTTGTGGAAATTTAAGAACCGAATATGTATTTCATACCGGTATTCTGCTCCCCACCCTTTCACAAAACTCATTCTTATGGTGCACATTCTAGTTAGCTGATACACGGCTTCAAAACCCTGATTAACAGACTGAGCCAGAAGAGCAGCAAATTCCTGGTTGTTGAAGATCTTCAGGTTACAGCCTACGATTGAGAAAAAGATTTAAAAATTATGTAAAAAGAATATTACTATTAGAAAATCATTTTAAAAGGGCTACAGATTTTAGAATATGAGCATGCAAATCATCTCCTGATTCCTAAAAGTAATAGCAAAGAAAAACTCAGCAAGTTGATACAATAGGTTTATTTACATTGTTGTATCCATACCTGGTGGAATTTTGCACACTGTTGCAGGGTGCCAGCCGTATCTCTGATTACAATTGGGGCTCTGCACAAAGATTGCACTATCACTTAGGCACTCAGCAAAAACTTCTCCACCTATGTAATATAAGCGCACTCCTCTTCCTAAAACAAAATATATATGGAATCAGTTTTACAACATTTACTATTTCAGCATGACTTTCAAAGAGTCTTCTCAGAGGATAGTAAAATGACATAAAGTATTTTGATGACTTTTTCCATAGCTATGCTTTTTTGAAATCTAACTTTGAAACATACCACTGTACATTTTTCCAAGTATTTTTTAAAAATGATTTTATTGATTTGTAAAGATAATACGTGCTTATCAAAAATACTTAAGCAACGCAGAAAAGTGAATGGATAGCAAAATAAAGAATTTTATACAAATTACAGTTATTTCTAAATAAATAAAAGAATTCATTTGAAGGAATTAACTAATGTCTGGATTAATATGCCTTCATTATAATAAACAGTATTTCTTTAAAGAGCCCACTATGGTTAAGAAAAAAGGTAATAAAAATTATCAAGAGATCAGAGTCATCTGCCCCTTTTATAACTATATATATTATGGGGGCAACTAGGTCCCTATTTATATAAGCAGAATTAGATAAGAAAAAATTATATTGGGAGATTTTAATATACCTTTCAGAATTTGACAGATCAAATATATACATAAAATATGAGCAGATCAAATATACATAAAATATTAGCAATACAAGGATTAAAGAAAAAATTGTGAAAAGCAGAATTCTAAGATAGCACTTAAGATTCTCACCCTGGTGTATTTATCTTCTCAATTATTCAATCAAACACTAATCTACATACTGCTTAAAGGGATTTTTCAGATGTAATTAAGTTCTCAAATCAACTGACCATAAGAAACTAAGACTACCTTTGGTGGGCCTGACTTAATCAGGTGACAGCCCTTAAAAGGGACTGGGCTGGCCCTGGTGAAAGTGATTCAAAGTGTGAGCAACAGGAATTCAACACAACAGAGTCTTCACTGCTGACTGTGAAGATGGAGGGGGCCACGCAGGTGGCCTCTAGTTGCTGATAGCAGCCTCTAGCTTACAGTCTGCAGGAAATGAGGATCTCAGCGCCACAACTTCAAGGAAGTGAACTCTGCAATAATCACCTGTGAGCTTGGAAAAGGACCTCAAGCTTCAGATGAGAACACAGCCCAGCTGACCCTTTGATTTCCCTTTGTGAGACCCTGAGGAGACTCCTAACCCACAAAAACTGTGACACAGTAAATTTGTGTGGTTTTAGGCTGGTAAATGTGTGGTAATATGTTACGCAGCAAAAGAAAATTAATAAAAACCAACAAGCCAGATTTACTACATAAATATGGAACCTGGTGCCCAGTTCTCTTAATGACTACAGAATACTTATATAAAAAATAAAGTTGTTCACTTGACCATTAGGAAAACATTAAGTCCAAAAAGTAGAGATTTTTCAGGCTATAGTTTCTGATCAAAAGCACCCAATAAACTAGAAATCAAAAGTAAAAAAAGATAATCCAATAATTACAGCACTCTAAAATTTTGTACAGAAGTAAATAAGGTAGGGTAAACCTTTTGTTAAATGTTTATGCAGAGCCCTAATTAGAACATGGAAAAATCAGAACTGTTTTACTGAAAAGAGGGCAGATATTCAGAGGCCTTCCTCACCTGTAAGATACCTGAGTACCTTAGGAAGATGATATAAAATATACACATCAAGCAAGATTTGAGAAATTCCACATGGAGCCAACTAACAGACCTCTGAAGTCACTAGCACTTTGCAATATCACATTGACTCTTTAGTGATCAGCATTATTTCTCATAGGAGGTGATGGTTAATTAAATGAACAGAAGCAAATTATTATCAAAAGAAGTTACTTTAAGGTGATGAGAACTATGTTAGTTATTTTTGTGGCGCTCAAACTATTTTTTACCTCATTGTCAAAAAACTACTGACGACCCAAAGAGTTGTTGTTTATGTGGATTACATCTATGCAAACTTACCATATTATGTGTGAAAACTGAGATTCAAAAAAATTAATTCATTTGAAAATCAAAATAATAAACCCACTACATATTAACATAAACAAGTTTGTGAAAAATAACTATTTTGCAAACCAAAGAAAAAATTAGTGAGAAGAGTAGCAATGTTTTATATTTTTGCAAATATCCTTAATGTCTGGCTTAAGAGAAGACAGTAGAATTCTCATCAGAGTCTACGTTTAATTCCTTGCAAAATCGTAAGCCTTGTAAGCCTCTGGAATACTTCACTGTACAGTCAAGAGAGAACAAGAGTGAAAATGGCAAACAGCATCTTAGTACCACTGTGAAAATTGTTTTTACCTCACCAACTTGCTGAAAGGGTGCCTGGGATTACCACATTTTGAGATTCTATGAATTATTTTTGAACAAATTAAATGGTCGTTCTTGTTTTAGATATCCTGCATCAGATTAACAGTGTGCAGATCTGACATATGAATTCACTGAAAGGGGGAAAAAACTAGGAGATGTAAACAAACTGAAAGAAAAACTCATGATTTGTTAAAATTACATCCCTAAAATCTGAACATGACAATTTTATGACTGGTAGGGGCTCAGCAGAGTAGTTATTTTAACACGTATTTATTGAAGGACTTCCCAGTATCGAGGGTGCCAAATTAACAGAAGCTCAAGATAAAAGTTCACAGACAGAAGGATCACCAGGATCTACTAAAAGCTGTGAAGCTGTGCACTTCAACATGACTGCCCTTAAGGTGGGAGAGAGAAGGCAGGCTTTTTTGCACACAATCTCTTGATGTGGTAAACCACATAATGCTCACATTATGAGTATATGGCACTGGTTTTTCACATAAGGGAAAAAAACATACCTATATGTCTTCTTGTCATTTCTACTGTAGCATTTCTGTTGACGTTAGAGAGTAAACCTAGGCAGAACCTCTCTGAATTTGATGGATCTGTGAAGCCGTCTACGGTGAGTGAGGGCTGTGATGCATGGAAGGTCTCTCCAACCCTCTGGTTTAATTCGTAATACGCTATTGAACACCAAAATGCAGGTTCTGAGTAAGTAACAGGCTGCAAATCTGGGGCAGAAAGAACAAACACATAAAAGAAATGTGTGTGAATAATTCAAGCCACCTCAAGCCAAGAATAGACTGAATATCATCACCTTTACATGTTCTATGCCAGCCTACACTGGCAACAGCCCAGGAAACAGACTTAACATCTACATCACGAACTCCAGATTCCAAAGAGCACTCCAGATTTTCAATTTCTCAAATATCCCCTATCTCATTAAGTCATTCTAATCTTCAAACAGCTTTCTTAGACTTTATGGTGGATCATTTATTCTAACAGTAGTTTTACCCTGCTTGTGCCACAGTCAATTTGCATTATAAAGTTAATTTTGGGTAGGACAGAGTAGAACAAAGCTGAAGCAAAGATTAATGAGTCAAAAGCCACAGGGGAAAAAAAGATGTCATGATAGGATACAAAATACAACATATTTTTGACATTTGTCTATTTTAACATGAGATTCTCACTGAGTTACCCTAGTTACAAAAATAGAAAACCCAAATATACACAAGAAACAGAAAGTAATAAAACATACAAAAAAAAGAAGAAAACATACAGTATGCAAGTGGAAACAGAATATAAATCAAAAGAATCTACATATTTCACGGGAAAATGAGGATCACATGTATTTAAGTGCTGTCATTTTGATTAAAATGCATCATAAGCAATATCATGGGAAAAAAATGACAATTTTGTAGAACAAATTCCAATGTGTAGAAACTGAAAAGAAATTGTGAAATAGTGAGGTAAAATGAAGACCAAGAATAAACTACAGACCGTATACACACATATATACATATGTATTAGCTATCACATATATATATCATCTCCCATACTACATGTACATGTGAGTGATATATGTCTATATATATTTATACACACATCTCATATGAATAATTGCTATTATAAAATACATCAGAAACTAAATATATACATAAAAATCTAGCCATATAAGAACATTTTTCATGAATATGATTTCCATGAATAAAAAGATTATTAACTTCTTGTATGTGCCAGGAGAAAAGAGTTTTAGTAATATTGAGGCACATTATCAGTATCATTTTTAGAAAGCACTAAGTTGAACAATCATTTGATTATTCGCTGGGATCTCTTTCTCATATATATGGAAAATAATTACCAGAAAGGACATTTAATTAAAAAGGTATAAAAACAGTAGGGGAAAAGTATTTGCAACTTACCCAAACTATGATTAACAGGGGAAAGAGTAGTAGGAGATAGTTCTGCTGGAGATCCTGAAACAAAAGATTCAATTTTAAACCAGCTGTAAAAGTATTTCCATAAGTTCTAACCAAATAAATAATAAAACTGATTGTATCTGGTTGTAATGGTCACAGATGATACACAGATAATTTACATACCAAGGATTCAAAATATACAACTGCTTAATGGAAGTTTAATTTTGGAAGCTTCAATAGATAAAAGATACAAAAAAGTCCTGGCTTCAAGCTACCCTCTTCCAAAGGCATCCAATGTTGCCAGTTCTTTGTGTACCTTTCCAGAAATATTCTTCAAACCATATAATATATTGTGTTCTGTGCCTCCTGCTTTTTATGTACAAATGGTAACACAGTTCTGAACTTTGCTTTTATATTACTTATTCTATCAGAAATGTTGATATGTTTCCCTTTTACTTATGTATCTATTTATCCATCCATCCATCCATTCATCTATTAGCTGCATAACATTACATTATGGAATATTATGATCCCATATTGATGGATATTCAGGTTATCTTCAATCTTTTGCTTTAAGAACCAAGATTCCAATAACTAATCTCGCACACTATGCGCATTCTCAATTGTATCTTAAGGGTAGGCTCTAAAAGAGAAACTGCCAAATCAAAGGGTTGTCCATCTGTAATTTGATAAATTTTGCCAAAATTGTCATCTATAGAGGTTGTACCAGTTTACATTCCCAGCAACAACATAAATAGGGGAGGCTCATGTGCTATTGTTGATAAGTAAGAACAAGGTCTTAACAAGTATAGTTTTAATTTGTATCTCTCTTATAAATGACACTGAGCAGTTGAATACTTGTTTATATTTTATTTCCTTCCTGTGAATAGTCTGTTCTTTTCTTTTGCTCAATTTTCTATTGTGGTGTTGATCACTTTTCTCACTGATTTACAGAAGGCTCTTTATTGTTTTAGTGATATTAGTCCTTTCATGGTATGGGATGTAAATATTTGGTCATCTGGCTTATGATTCTTCATCCCAATTTTGACTAAGCAGTATTAAAAAAAACTTTTATGTGATATAATTTACCAATCATTTTGGGGTATGTCACATTTTGATAAAACAGTGGTGATACCAGAAATTCTTGTCTTACTCTTAACTTTAAGGAACTACTTCTAGTATTTGCCCATTAAGTATGATGCTGGCTGTGAGGATGAGAGAGAGAAAATTCTTTATTTAGGAATTCTGAATCAATAATCGTATGCAATACTGGTCTGCAGATTTATGTTGCAAGCACAAATGTTACGCTGTCTCATAAAGACAAGCTAGAAGATTTAAGTCTTTTCTATGCTCTGTAACAGTTTATTTAAACTACTTAGCATTGGAATAACACATTCTTTAATATTTCAGTAGAATTCCCATGTGAAATTCTTTGCAGTTAAAAATTTTCTAGGGTTTATTCTAAGACACTTCTCTATTGCTTCTATGAAGGTTGACTGTTCAGGCAGCTCTATTTCCTGCAGTCAGTTTCAGTAAATTATATTTATTAGAAAAGTATTCATTTCTTCCAGTTTTAGGTAAACTTGCTAAAATCTAATCAAGAAAATAAGGGAGGAGGGGGCACAAACACATAAAATAAGAAAAAGAAGGAAGAACCACAGACACAAGAAAAACAGTGACTGAGATTACTTCACTCAATTTCATGCAACTAAATTTTAAAACATATTTGTTGTAAACTGTTGTTAAATAATATTATAATTGCAGGAAAAATTTTGTTTTCTTATCATTATTCTCTACATATTTTGAAAATGTTACCCAAAAAAGCATGACTTACAGCCCCCAAGCTTTAAAAATATAGCAATGGCATAGATGTAGAATAAGGTCAGATGCCCCCTGTGGACCTCTCCCCTCTCCACACTATAACCATGACCTAAAATACCAGGCAACACAGGTGAAACAGCAATTTCCACATAAACAAATGAATCAAAAATAAAGAACAGGTGATAATGATTTTTGAGAAGACAGAACAGCCTTCCATAACAAAGTTCTTATGTTCTTTTTTTATTCTTCAGTTTGAAAAATCTGTTGGCAAGTCACAACAGGTACAGCTATGAAAGGTCAAAATATATTTAGAACAATGAACTAAAACTCACTGCTGTTTCCTGAAGCTGAGATAAAATAAACAAAGCCACTATTAGAAATGGAGGAAACTGCCCAATTTTTCATCTTTTAACTGTTTACTCCCTCTATTAAATACTTATAAGAAGTGACTAGTAGAGTCACAGTTCATTAATTTAGACTAAGAGGAGTCCAGTCAGATGTGATAAAAGTTAGAAATATATATTATGAAAAGGAAAGTCGATTAAAATCATATATAAAATTTTTAGAAGTTAAATTAAGCTAAAAATTTATTAGCTAACAGAAGTTTTTAGAAACTTTTTTCTTAAACAGAGCCAGGTTAAATGATGATTAACCTATTAGTTATTCGTATATACATGCTTCTACTGAAGTCTGGAACTTCCAGTTATGAGAAGTAATGATCTCACTATTTAAAGCTAGTTTCTATTACTTGCAGCTAAAACATCTAGAGAAATCCTTGTGCACATAACCTTGCATACAAGTTCGCAGATATTTGTAGGATACATTTTTTCAACAAGGAAATGTTAGATCAAAAGGAATGTGAGGTTAAATTTTTATAAGTACCAAAGTACCCTCCCAAAATGTTTAGACCCACCAACAGTTTACGAGCGTTTCTTCATGCCATGTCACTACCTTCTGACATATAACAATTTGAAAGGTTTAAATGGGGCAACTCTGATATTTAAAAATTTTACTTATTTTTATTTTGTTATAAATAGTGCACTCATGTTCTTTATGTCCCTTTTCTATTAACTACTGTCTTTTTCCTCTTTATTTGTAAGTTTTAAATTTAGAAATCAGTTATTAGGCTTGTCATACATTTACAAACATTTCCCCAAGATTTTTGGTTTGTTTTGGTAGGTCTTTCAAGGTTAAAAACAAATTTTTATAACATTATTTTTTAGAGTTTTAGGTTCACAGCAAAATTGAGCATAATTTACAAGAGTTCCCATATACCCATACATGTATAACCTCGCCTGCCATCAGAGTCGCGTGCCACAACGTCAATTTATTGTAACTGAGGAACCTACACAGACATCATTATCACTCGAAGCCCTTAATTTACATTAGGGTTCATCCTTGGTTCTGTACTTTCTACAAATTTTGACAAATGTATAATGACATGTATTCACTATTGTAGTTTCATACCAAATAGTTACACTTCCCTAAAAATCTTCTGTGCTTACCTGTTCATCCCTCCCTGCCCTCTAGCCCCTAGCAATCACTGATCTTGTTACTGTCTCTATAGTTGTTTGTGCCTTTTCCGGAACATCACATAGCTGGAATCATAAAGTATGTAGTCTTCTCAGATTGGCTTCTTTGACTTGTAATATGCATTTAATGTTCCATGTATTTTCATGCCTTTATTTAGCAGTTTTCATTTTAGCACTGAATAACATTCCATTGTCTGGATATGCCACAGTTTATTTATTCATTCACTTACTGAAGGACATCTTGGTTGCTTCCAAATTTTGGCAATTATGAATAAAGCCACTAAAAACATCCATGTGCAAGTTTCTGTGTGTACATAAATTTTCAACTATTTTAGGTGAATACTAAGGAGCATGACTGCTGATCACATGGGAAGAGTATGTTTAGTTTTGTAAGAGACTGCCAATCTGTCTTCCAAAGTGGCTGTACCATTCATTTTGCATTCCCATCAGCAATGATCTTGTTGCTCCACATCCTTGGCAGAATTCAGACTTTGATCATTCTAACAGGTGTGTAGTGGTAACATTTTAAATTTTATATATTCAAATTTATCAACCTTTTCTTCTATGGTTTTATATGTTGCATAGTTCTTGCTCAGATTATTTTAAAAATTCTTCAATGCCATGTCCTAGAAATTAGAGTCTCATTTTTTAATTTAAGCATTTTCTCTAAATGGAATTCATTTTGGTATGAGATAAGTTACATGCTTAGTATCTATAACTTTTTGAGAAATATTAAAATTACTTTGAATTTCTTGAGCAAAATTAACGGCAAAGAAATGTATATTTTACTTTTATAAGTTTCAGTGTGTTAACTAACCATAAGTTACTATCATTCAAATAAGAAAATAAAAATAGACTTATTCTTTCAAAAGGCATATATGGAAGAACAGGAAAGTTAAAGGCCTTAAAATCATTTAGTTTTATCTTCTTTGCATTCATATTACAGAGATAATCCCGAAGAACTAAAATTATCTACGATTTTGTTTTTATACCAAAAAAGGCTTAAACATATGCTTTAAAAGAATCTCATTTACTGAATACACAGACCAATCGCATTCACAAACCCTTCAAAAAACTGAGAATCACGATGGATTATTCCTTCAACCATATCCCTACCTAATCACCAAACAAGTCTTACCTCAGCAATATATTGCAAAGGCAGGCATTTCTCCCCATGTCATCTGAAACGAGCCAGAGGAAGTCTAGTGCAGTAGTTAAGAACAGAATTTCTAGAATCTGAGATCCTAGGTGCAAATTCCTCTGTCACTTTCTACCTATCTTTCTATGATGTTCATTGCAGTACTGTTTTTTATGAATTACATATAATGTTTAAAGTTTCTTGTTTTACCTGTTTATTTTTTATAATGAACATCCACTTGTTGCATAATTCAAAATGCTGCATTATAATTTTAACCTGTAAAATACTGTTTAACTTTTATTTGACATAGAACGGTAAAAATGAGATTAAGCAAAAATAAAAGAAATAGGTACTATGTCAATTCCACTTTAAAAATACACACTTCCTTCATGTTTCTTTATTATGTTCTATGTATTTCCAAATTTTCTACAAGCATGAATTATGTTCATAATGAGAATACAGTTGCTCTTCTTGTGTTTTTATTTGTACCTTCTGTAGGGTTCCCCTTATGGCTAGAATGTAGAAGACTGTTGGAAAAAACCTTGCTCCTACAATAAGAAAATATC